CACTTGCGTCTGCCCCTGTTCACTCCTATTACTGCCAACACTGATAGGAGTAAAATCATCAACGACACAGGAAGAAGGGATATGACTCTCTGATTTTTGCAAAAAGTAGAATAAGAAGACCAACAACTACTATTTAAAATAAACCGACGGTGATTTGAGTGAAATTTTGGGGTTGTGCCATAAGATTTGGAAAACAACGATGATAGAAGTAGAATGAGAAGACCAACAACCATAATAAGAGCAAAAAGCAGAGAGTCGGCTACATCCATCTTTAGAGACGGAAATGGCGAGAATCGAGCTCCAGCGAAAATCTAGGGTTTGGGATATATTGATGATTTTATTGATTATCCCAAGCTTGGTTTAGTTAAGAGTGATTTAATCTAAAATTTTTTTTTGTCATTAAACATAAGTACATAATTTTTGATTATTAAAAAAATATTAATAAATTTGTATATATTATTTTAAATAATATTACTATTTCTTAAAATTTGAAGTGATTTTTTTGATAGCTTGGCCTTGTGTCAGTTCCTTGCAGGGTGATCGGCAGCTTCATTCTGTGTCGTTCCCTCATTAACTCGGAAACCATTGCATTCCTTGGAGGATTCGGGTTCTCTAATGCCTCATGTAAGGTGACCCCAACACTCCATGAGTTTATTTCAAAGTTGTGATTTTCTGTTATTGCATCAGCCATAACATCAACTGCAGGATCAGATATCTTTGGGAACCTTGGTGACTCCTCCCATCTGTCTTCAACTAACAACGACTTCACCTCCGCATACAACCCCGATAAGAGCAACAAGCAGAGAGTCGACAACATCCATCTTCAGAGACGGAAATAGTGAGAATCGAGCTTCGACGAGAATCTAGGGTTTGAGATAAATTGATGATTTATTGATTTATGAGTGAAAAATAAAAAATCACAACCACACTGGACGAAGCGATTTTAAACATTATGTATTTATGTTTAATGATAAAAAAATTAGATTAATGATCCCAATTTCACTCCTAACTAAACCGAGCTTGGGATAATCAATAAAATTGAATCTTAATAAGGACAAAAAATCGAAGGCCAACAGAAAAAAGGAAAAGAACAAACATATATCCTTAAAAAATACTATATATATATATATATAATATATATGTATATTTAAAAATACTATAAAAATTACAATCTCTATATACATTACTCAAGATTTAAAGTATGTTAATCTTTAAATAACTTTAATTTTTTTTTCTACAGTTTAAAACATTAGAACTCTATCTATATCTGGTTGAAACGTCATTAACTCATATACCAGTTTGAGTTTAGATTGTTAAAAAAATGTTTGTCGTGAACCATGGTTTTATACCATGTTCGAAAAGGCAGCCACCTAGGTGCTGGAAAGAGGGTCACCGACTCACCGCCGTGATTTTAGTCTGATCGGTGGTGGTAGACGGAAAACCGATTTTCCACCGCCTAAAAAACGACTAATGGAAAAGGCGACCCAAATAAATAAAAAATGGCCCAAATTTTTTAGAAAATCGGTTAAAAAATGTGGGTTTGTTGATGTTCTAGTCTCGGGCCCATATCTGTTTTTTTTTTCTTTTTAAAACGCCATAACATTTGATCTCTTGATTAAACCTGATCAATCCTAAACAAACCCTAAACTAAATTTCCCCAAATTCTAATCCTAATCGCGATGGAAAACCAAGCTACTCACGATGAAATCAGGATGAAATCAAGCTTAATCAACATCAATATCCAAGAACATCAAGAAATCCTGACCAAATCAAGCTCTTTCATCATCTACAAAGTCTTCCATTTCGTTTTCGAGGTAACAATCTCTGAATCTCTCAATCTCTCAAACAAAGAACAAGTCCTTTGGTTTTGGGGTTGTGTATTGGTTCTGATTCTGTTCTTTGATTCATCTTCGTCTAACTTAGAACCCGCATTCATATAACTTATAACCCATCTTCATCTAACTTATTACCCACCATTCATCTAAGTTATAACCCACAATTCATCTTCATTAGTTGTCGGCTGATCCACCACCTGAAAATTCAAATTTTTTTAAGTGTAACTCAGCTGATGTTGGATGAGATTATGGTGTCTTGTATGATCCCCTGAATCCAGAAAAAAAGTGAAATGTAAACTTTGTGGAAAATAGATATCGGGTGGAATTCATCGATTGAAACAACACGTTGCACATAAGAAATGTGCAATGGCTTCTTGTCTCAGGTCAAGTCAGGAGGATAAGGATAAGTGTATGAAAACATTGAATGAAGCAAAGGAGAATAAAAGTCTGAAAAGAAGACATGAAGATGATTTGCGGGCTGAGGTGAATATTGAGAAGCAAGCCACCGATAAACTAGGAGAAGAGCATGGAACAATCAGATCACCTCATTTCCAAAGTCTGATTGATAAGTTTACAAGCTCCATTGATCCAGAAGCTTTGTTGGCTACTTGTAAACGGAAACAGAGCATCCATGATGCTATTTCTAAAGAGAAGACACATGTTGTACTCCAATATTGTGCTAGGTGGGCCTATCATGCAAGCATCCCATTCAATGTTATAGACAACGAACCTTTTAGGTTGTTTTGTGAAGCATTGGGACAGTTCGGGCCTGGTTGGGTACAACCAAGTCAATACCAGCTGCGTGAACCATTGTTGAAAGAAAAAGTTTTGAGGACACAGGAAAATGAAGATTTTAGAAGAATAATGGGAAAGAGAAGGTTGCTCTGTGATGACTGATGCATGGACTGACATAAAAAGACGAAGCATCATGAATTTGTGTGTTAATTCAAGAGGTGGTACTTGCTTTCTTTCTTTAAAGGACACCTCCAAAGATCCACATACTGGTGAGTACATCTTCAACTACATTGACCAGTGCATAGAAGATGTAGGAGCTGAAAAAATAGTGCAAGTGGTGACAGATAATGCAACCAACAATGTATCAGCAGCTAGGATGCTTAGAGAGAAGAGACCGGCTATCTTTTGGAGTGGATGTGCGACTCACACACTAGACTAGATGAGAAGGCTGTGAACCAAGAGATGAGAAGTTTGATCCAGGTTAGTCTCCTCATTGTAATTCTCTTAGTTGATCACCCTCACTACTTATTTGATCATCTTCACTTGAATTGACACAGGGAATTGGTGGTCAACATATGGATGTGGTGCACCAACTTTGCAAAAGTTAGCAACAAGAATGATTGCTTTGACCTCTAGTTCTTTTGGTTGTGAAAGAAATTGAAGTTGTTTTGAATCGGTTAGTGTATTCTGGCTTTATATCTTATATTTTATTCTAACAAGTTCATAATGTTAATCGTTTTACTTTGGTTTCTCTTTGGTTTTGCAGATCCACACTAAGAAAAAGAATATACAAGATTTTAATCGCATAAACAATCTAGTCTATGTCCAATTTAATGCTAAGATGTTCAACAAGTAGAAAAAGATAAGAGAGCAACATGCTGATGCTATCTTCAAAGATGGTAATGAAGATACTCTAGAAGAATGGATTGCAGAACCACGTTTGGAAGATCAAGAAAATGAAATCAATCTGATGCTAGCCACACAAGCACCACAGATAAGAGACATTTATGATGATGATTTTTGATTCTGAAACGGAAGATGCTATTTACATGGAGTTCAAACCTGATGAATACCAAGAAGTTTCTCTGTTTCGGGACTCACAAACTTCTTAATCAGGTTAGTTTCTTGTTCTTTGAAGTCAATGTTCTGATTTTTTATGGATCTATGTATTTGTCTTTCTATGATGTCTTCGATGTCTCTTAGTAGTCCACGAGTTAGTTTTGTATGTGTATCACTCTATGTTAGGTTGCTCTATTAACATCATGTTAGGATCAAATATATGCATATTTCGACCATGGTTCATAACTTATAACCAAAAAAAAAAAAATTAAATCCTCAAAACTAATTGACAATTAAGGGTCTGATTAGCAAATTAACTTTAAAGACTTTTAGTACTTTGAAACAAAAAATAAAGTTTTTAAAGCCAGGTTTTAACCAATCAGACTTTAATGATTTTAAAGTCTTAAAAATCATAACTTCCATCCTAAAAAATCTCACAGTCTTCTCTCTCTTTTTTTCTTTGTTAATCGACACTTTTATTTAAAAGCCTCAAAATATGGCTTTTACTTTTTTTTTCAAAGTTACAGTCATAATTTAACAGCCAAAGTTTTTACAACAATCCAAAATTAAAATCTACAGCCACAGTTCTTCCCAATCAGACCCTAAACTCCGACTAATCAACAATTTTTCGATTCGACTCTAGTCGAGATCCAAGCGACCGCCTAGCAACCAACGCCATGTCGACCATGGATTTTATATAAGAACTATCATTTTTCTTAGTTGTATGTTGAAAAAAAATATCTTTTTTTTTGAACAACACTTTTTGTTTTATCTATTTTCACATTTTCTCAGGTATCCCTTTCTTTCGACGTAATTAAAAAGAAATTAGATGAAACAATTGGTTTTTAAATATGAAATTTTGAAAACTAATTTGATCTTGAAAATTAAAATATAGTAAATCTTTCTGAATATAAAAAAAAATTCTAATTTGGGCTTTAGAATCAATATATGGAAAAAAAAGTACCAATGTTAAAGCCCATTAGACTTAGATTTGTGGGTCCCTTCTTTAACCAGATAAAGCTTTTACGGCTTCCAGATGCTTTCCTCTCCACGGAAAAAAACGTCACTCATGATGTCACATCCTCTAAAAACAGCACGTGATTGTCTTAAACACGAAGCAGATTCGCAGAACATTTGGTCTTAACCATTAACCCAGCAAAGCATTTTTTTTTATTTTTTTTAATAGTTTTAAAAATGTAGTCATACGCATAGCAACGAATCTCAGGCCATTTCAGTTTCTCTTTTTTGACTTTATTTAATATTATTTTACCAATTTGAAATCTTCCTTGACAAGGCAAGAAATCAAAGACGTTTATATAGACCAGGTGACAGTCACCAGACCTTTAATAAAAATTGCGTAACTTTCTTTTATAATATAAAGAAGTTTGTCACCAACTACACAGAACCAAGAGAAGAGAGAAGAAGAAGAAGAAGAAGAAGAAAACGAAAGTCATCGTAATCTCCAAAACGTAGACGTTTCGATGCAGAGCCCGACTCTGGACTTTAATCGACTTGAGATTTTGTCATTGTTAGGTCGCGGTGCTAAAGGAGTTGTGTTCTTGGTGAGAGACAAAGACGATGATAGATTGCTTGCTTTGAAAGTTATACTTAGAGAAGCAATCGAGAAGAAGAAGAAGACGAAGAACAACGATGAGTATAAGCGCGTGAGTTTCGAGCAAGAAGTATTAAGCAGATTCGATCATCCTCTGTTTCCTTCTCTTCACGGTGTTTCGTCAACAGATAAAGTAATCGGTTACGCGATCGATTATTGTCCCGGAAAAAATCTCAATTCATTGAGGAAAATGCAATCGGAGAATATGTTTTCCGATGAGATCATCAGGTAATTTTTTGATCAAATCTCCAATAAAATTTGTAATTTTTCTCAGATTCCGTTATTAGTTGTTGTTTTGATTTTCAGGTTTTACGCGGCGGAGCTTGTGCTCGCGTTTGATTATCTTCACAATCAAGGAATCGTTTACAGAGATCTGAAACCGGACAATGTGATGATCCAAGAAAACGGACATTTAATGCTCGTCGATTTCGATCTATCGACGAATCTAGCTCCGAGAACGCCGCAACCGTCACCGTCGCCATCATCGGAAACAAAATCGTCTCCGGCAAGGAGGATAAAGAAACGCCTTTTCCGATTCGCAAGTTTCTGCAACTCGGGGATTTCGCCGGAAGAAGAAGAATCGAATTCGATCCGCTCATCGGTATCAGCGGCCGTGTCGGATTCTTCAAGAGGAGAAAAGTCGAATTCCTTCGTCGGAACAGAGGAATACGTCGCGCCGGAAGTTATCACCGGAGGAGGTCACGATTTCGCCGTCGATTGGTGGTCGTTAGGGATTGTTCTATACGAGATGTTGTACGGTACGACGCCGTTTAGAGGATCGAACCGGAAAGAGACGTTTTTCAGGATATTAACTAAACCGCCGAATCTGATCGGCGAAACGACGTCGCTGCGAGATCTGATTAGGAGATTGTTGGATAAAGATCCTAGCCGTAGGATTAACGTTGAGGAAATCAAGGGTCATGATTTCTTTAGAGGAGTAGATTGGGATAAAGTGACGTTGGTTTCTAGACCGCCGTATATTCCGGCGCCGGACGATGGTGGTGATAAGGGTAAAGATGGGAATACGAAAATGGATGTGGAGATTATTGTTCAAGAGATTTTTGCTGCGCGAAAAGAACGTGATAAACAGAGCGATAGTAATAATAATGCTAATTTGAAACTTAAGAATGAAAAAAGTGGGGAATGGGTTAAGGGATTAAATAATAATAACGACTTGGAAAGCGATAATAATTTTTTGGTATTTTAATTCAATTCGTTTTTTATTTTCAACAATCAACACTGAGGAGAATCGGCTTTTACGTGTAAATTTAATTAGCATCTAATGGTATATCAAAAGATCGGCTTATAAATAAAAAAAATTAGATTCTATCATGTGTATACACATGTGCATGGGAACTATTTTTAATATATCAAATTTTATAATATAATTTATGTTTTTATTTTTATATATAATTTTCTAATAAATGATAAATATTTCTTCTGTTTATATATATTTTGTTTCTATTAATTTATATTTTTAGTATATATGTGACTGTGATTAGAGAAATATTATTCTATTTTGTCCATTTATATTAATTTAATAAGTATAATGATTATAAAAACGTTATTATAACATGTCCATTTATATTAATCCGAAAAGGATCATAGTTTTAAAACATAATTATAATTCGTTCATTTATATTATTTGTATATCTTATATATTTTTAAGTTTGAATATTAAAAGTTTTAGAATTATCTAAGAAAAATATACAGTATATATTATTTTTATCTTTGTCATTGAAATATTACTTAAATTTGAATATGTAAATTAAATTTTAATTGATATCAGATTTATTATTTTTATAAAAATAGAATAATAACTTATTTTATAATTTTTGATAAATAATATAATCTAAATTTAAGAAAATCTAAATTTAAGAAAATCTATAACAAAACTAAATTTAAATTTTTGAATTTATTTTAAAATATATTATTTTATTAATATTACATTAAATTAACTCGTTTGGTAACATAAATAGGAGTTATCAAAAAATAGGAGTTATCCAATAATAGAATAGTAGAAAACTAATTAAAACCTGTTTGGACACAAAATATCTTTCTTTTTTAATAGTATAGATTATATTGAGAATTAGATTTTTCTTTAATGTTTTAACTTCCTACAAGTAAATTTGGGTTATAATTTTGGGCAGTTTGCAAGTATTTGTTAATTGAACCAAACGAAATCTTATATTTGAACCAGAACCAAACTGTAAACTGGATTGTATTTTTTTCTGAGTACATACAATTATAAATTCAGAATTTAGATGGTCGTTGTTTAGCTTTTGTGCCTTTAACTTTCAAAAACGACATCGTTTACAGTTCTCTCACAAGCCATAGTAAACAAACAAAAAATGACATGAAAGAACTACTACATAAGAAGGAATGTCTAAGCCTTCTACAACTACACAGTAACAGTCATAAGCACATCTTGTTCATTTGACTATACCTAAAAAGATGACAAGATGTCAATGCTTGAAAGGAAGAACCAAAAAACGATTACTTTTTATTTCTTTCTAAGTTGGAGTCATTGTGCTAGTCTTTGAGACTGCTTCACTATACAGATTCCTTGAGGCTGAAAACACACAGAAAAGCTCCCGATTCACATTCTTCGCTGCCTGGACCATCATGTGTGTCAGGAGATCGATTGTTACTGAAAACAAAGTCGAACTCTCTGTCACCGAGCTTTGGCTATACTCAAGAATCCATGTGTTGGGATCTAGTTGCAGAACCGATGTGCTCCATTTGGTTTTCCCCCACGAAGTGTTGGCCTCACGTATTAAGTAACCGAATCTTCCTTCTGACCACTTCATAGAGCACATAAGAACATATAAGTATCGCGTAAACACGTTTGTCAAAATCAAAGAGAATAAACAGCAAAAATTATTAGATAAACCAATATTTGTCTTTTACATTTCATATGTCAAGTCAAGCAATATATTTTATACAATACAAATACTAAAGACATTTGAATCTGATAGTCAAATGGTAAGGCTATGGCAATACAAATTTTTTGATTCTGATTACCTCGGTTACTCGGCCTGATAATACAGTTATTGAGCTTGAGGAGAAGCCGGTACGGAACAAACCGGCGGTTTGCAAAGGCCAACCCCAAATACTCACCTCTTCAATGGCGGATTTGTACAGAGGACACTTTGAATTCAACATTGGACCATCCTTCAAAAAACGCAATTTTTCAAATCGGTCAAGTCAAAATTGGAAACTTTTGGAATTATGATAATTGTACAGGTCATAACTTTACCTGATTGAATTTCCATTTGGAATTTGAACCCCTGCAACTCGAAAACTTTCCACTTTTAGCAAAACCCTTTAATTCGTTTTCCGTGATTCTCAGCTTCGAACCCAGATCGAGAGCAGATTGAGATCTCTCACCAGAAACTCTCACTATCTCCTCTGTAAATTCGGGTTTTAAAACCCCTTTAAGCATCCAATTAAACCCTAATTCTAAACACAGAACCAAACCAATCCCTAAAACCAATTTCCTAAAAACGCATATCAGTGACTTTCTCTGGTTCGTCTTCTTCTTCTTCCTCAATTCTTCATCCTCTGAAACTTTTGGTTTCGTCACCAATTTCTGAGATATCACCTTCGAGATTGGGCGAGAAACCGAAGCGGGCGTGGTGACGACGGTCGGGTCAAATGAAGTCGGAGTAGATTCGACGGTGGATTTGAAATTCGAGGAGGCATAAGAGAGCTTCGTGAGGGAGCTTTTCTGTACGCTAAGAGGCATGAGATCGAGCGTTGCGTTGAGACTGTCGAGACAGATCTCGCAGCTGCAATTCGCGTCTTTGCGACAATATGGGAAGTAACAGTTACTGTCTCTTCTCTCTGAATCGTCCGTAGACACAGTGGAAGTCGTCGTGGTGTTCGATGATGCCATTGATGATTTCTCCGAGGATGAGTCTGAAATCTTTCCTTTCATGGCTTCTTTGTTTATCTGATTTTCGTTGCGTTGTTATTTTTTTTTTCTTTTTTCAAATTGCCCCAGATTTCGTCTTTATTTATTTATTTGTACTTCGATTTGAAATTTAAATGTCAGGTCCCAACGGTCCTCTGATTTCGGCAGTTTTGTTTCATTAAAATGACTAATTTACCCTACAATACATAAACAAATATCATGCTTTTTTTTTTTTTTTTACCACAAACAAATATCATGCTTATAATTCATAATTATTATGATGCCCGAATAACTACTAATAACTAGATCTGATATTCTGAAAACTTGAATATCAGCATAATTATAATCATCTTATAATATTAAAGTGAAGTACATTTAGAAATTGACTTCGGTATTACGTGTTATATTACATGACATGCCATTGTAAAAAATGTATTCCACGAACAAAAAAAACTAAAACCAAAGAGGATCTGCATCCTTTACTTTGACACGTTTAAAAGGACGCGGATCTTTTAATTTGACCCGTTTCTTATTTTAGGCAATTCATTATTTTTGATGCTGTAATCCCTTTGAAATATTTAGCTCTTAATAATCGGGATAAATGAAATATATATCCCAATAAATATATTTATATATTAAGAACATTTTACGCATGAGAGAATCTTGAATTCAAAATATAATAGAAAATATACAAATTTTCAAATCTTTTTTTTGCATACCCGATTATTAACACAATAATAACAACTTCCAAAAATGACGTAGTTATTAGCCAAATAATTGTATTAATTTAAATTTGAACTTATATACTTAGCCGCCAATGTATCTTCCCTCTTAACGGCATTGTATAACATCCGGAAATTTAATTTTGAGCTATTACTAAATCTCAATCTATGAGAATATTCTATTAGTTTGCTATTGAATATTATCCTATTTATTTCGGATCACCGTATAGATACTCAATAACAACTACTTTAAAAAAATGTAGGATTCACTATTTCCAATCAATATTGTGTTCAATTTGAATTGAGAAAAATATACTTGGTCACCAGATTACATACAGCTCAATGGTATTGCAAAAACACTATACTGTTTCACTATAAATATGACACTACCGTATTTCATTTCACTCTACATCAACTACAACTTTCTCAAATTTTACCTCAATTCAATTCTTTGCAATGGCTTCCAACATGAGGTTAACCCATTTGGCTGACTTAAAGCCATTCAAGACTGGTTGGAAGGTGCAAGTGAAGGTGCTTCACACTTGGAAGCAATACTAGACTAAGAGTGGAGAGTCTCTCGAAATAATTCTCGCAGATGAAATGGTATGATCAAGTGAATGTGTAATTACATTTTCGTACTACTAGCTATTAATGGTTTATTTATAAACATTTCTTATTTTCAGGGTACCAAAATCCACGCCACAGTCAAGAAAAACCTTTTGCATCGTTTTGAGCGATTGATGGTTGTCGGTGAATGGAAGTTCATCGAAAACTTTTCGTTGAACCAGGCGTCTGGTCAATAACGGGCCACAAAGCATCAATTCAAGATGTCTTTCATTTCATCCACCGTTGTCACCAAAAGTGCAAATCGATCTGACAAACGATTTTTGAGTTCTTAGATTATGATACAATCTTGAACGATTCCACACATACAAGTTTTTTGATCGGTGAGTTTTCATTTATCTATACAGTTAGTTTATTACATTTATATACATATTCACTTGACGTCATTTTTCAAAATACCAGATGTTATTGGACGAGTTGAAAGTGTACGTGAACTTGAAACAATCTCTGTCATGAACAAGAACACAAGCAAGCTTGAGTTCGACTTGTGTAATGCGAAGTGAGTATATACGGTTAACGTTAATTTTTAGGAAATATACATTATTTTTTATTCTTTTAAATAGTTACTCTACTCTAATTGAACCGTATTATATGTAGAGAGGAGCGCTTACCATGCACACTTTGGGGTAAATTTGGTGAGCAAGTCTATTCGGCTTGTCAGAATGCTGGCGAACGTGGGGTCATCATTGTAATCCGTTTTGGAGAAATCAATGTGTTTAGAGGTAAAAATATTTAATTACAAAATTGGTGTTTCAACATAAAATACAATGCATTTTGATTATTTGTTTAAATTATCATAGGTGAACGTCAAATTACCAGTTCTTTTCAAACCTCTAAGGTGCTCATAGATCTTAACAATCCAGATGTCATTGATTTCAAAAATAGGTAAACAATTTATTTATATATCAAACACAAATTTTGACAATGTGATTATTAATAAGAATTATTTTCCAATATGAAGTTTACCTGCAAATGGCGGAAATATTACTTTCTTGAATAGCAAGCCACATCAGAGGATTTCTTATGATGATGAGAGTAATTTTGATCAGTTTCCAATGGTGACTATTGCTGAAATGCAAGATTATCTGGAGGTATATAACAAAGTTTTCATAAGTTTATTATATGTTGATAAAATGATATGTCTTTGGGAAATAATGTTTTAATATAAAACTAATAACATAAAATACTTAAAGGGTATAAAATCTTATATATGGTATCGACTAAATTAAAGGTATAACTCAAACTTTAACTATTGTGTTAGTTTATCAATAGAGTTTATGCAATTATGGTGACTGTTATATTGTTAAATATTCAGGTTGGGAAATGCAAAATCATGTGTACTGTATACGCGGTTGATACAGATTGGTCATGGTTTTACTTGGTTTGCACTAAGTGTGGGAAAAAGGTCTACAAAATCCCAAAACGCGAAAACGAGAAATTTTGTGATAAAACTAAGAAGCTTTATTCATGTGAAACATGTGATGCCAAAGTTTCATCTGTCAGTGCGAGGTAACCAAATTTTATAAATTACTAAATAACAAATTGTTTTCCAAAAACATATAATCACATGTTTACATTTAAATTATATTGTAGATACAAACTCCATCTTTGTGTAATGGACAACACAAGCAAGATCAAATGTTTTCTTTTTGATTCAAATGCAAAAGATATTGTTAACCAATCTGCTGATGAAATTTTAAAAGGGACATACGATGAGGTATTATACACTTTAAATATTTTATTTCAATTAGTTTTATATTAAAAAATCATTTCCCAAATACTTATTATTTTTCAACATAGATACAAGATCCGGATGTCGTTCCTGATGCACTGCAAAACTTGGTTGGGAAGACATTTCAGTTTCTAATTTGTGTTGAAAAAGAAAATCTCTACGGTGGTAGTAATACATACAAGGTCGGAAAGGTTTTGAAAGGCAATCAGGTTTTGACTACCACCGTTGATGATGCGAATGAATCTGAAGATGGGGGTGATCAGAGTTTACTTATGTCTGGCGATCAGGTAAAATTAATATAGTTGTGTATATATATTTTATATTTATGGGACAATAATATATCTTGAATTTTTTTTATTTATAGGCATCTCTGATGAACACACATAGCCAAGAGTCTTCGGATGATGTTTCTGGCAATATCAAAACTCCTTTATCAAAGCGTGTGCGTGATTATCCTAAAGATTCAGTCGACTCATCCTCCTCGTTTAAGAAGTCATGTAATAGTGGCAATAGTGTGGAAACGACATACGCTAATGAAGTGATTGATGAGGATACACTGAAGAATGATGGTGTTTTGGTGATCGCTCTTCTTACAAGTGAATCCAATGAAGGTGTTGCAAAGTGACGAACTCGAGGACGTGGTGGTGGTAAAGTTGTTGGCAAAGAGGGAGGCAAAAATGGGAAAATGTGATCCCATATATTCTGGAGTTTATGAATTTGTTATTATTCAATTTTTTATTGAATAACTTTCTATTTTCCAATATTTGGTTTAGTATTTTGAGCATTTGGATATTTTTTGGAACTGGTTAGTTAATTTTTTCTCGAATTTGAATTATTAATAAAATATGTTTGGGTTTTGCATACTATGTTCGTCAGTCCCATGTTATACATTTTTAATTCATTTGCATCAAAAAATAGAATTAAAATTGGAAATCCTAATATTATTTCAGTCTTGCAACTTCCATCGAAGTTTCAATTAATGTAGTTTAATATTTATAAATATATATGTGATGATAGAAAATCCTAATATTATTTCAGGCTTGCAGCTTCCATTGATTTTCCTCCTGTCCATGAGTGCTTCCTATTTCTTATTTTTATAGTGTTAAACTTTAAAATCTTAACTTATATATTATTCTGATTGAGATAACTTATCCAAACAATTTAATTGTGTTAGCATTTTTTCTTGAATTGTACTCTATTTGTTTTCAACAAAAAATAACTATGATATTAAAATTTGTATCGTCCGTGATTTGTGTCTGTATTAAAAAATAGAGTACAGAATTCCGGGATTGTACTCTCATTAATTATTTGTAATTAATAAAATGAAGTAATTGATTTAATTAAAGAGAAGTATTCAGTACAAGATATGACATTTTTCTACCATCTTTACATATTTTCTATATATATTTAATCAATATAAAAGTTAAATATACATATGCATTGAATGTAACCAAATTGGTTTGTTCGTAATTCACGTAGTGCAAAAAATGTCAAAAGTTGCAATTTATTATAATTTTACAAAACGACACAACCTTTCAAACTCTATACTTGCTTTGCTTTACATATAAAGGACCAAGTAAAAAAACGTCTCACCATCTTAACGAAAACAAACATAAAGGTTGAGGAAAACAATCATTTTCCTCAAACATGCCTCACTATTGTACCCTTGAGTATCTTTCTCCCACAAAAACTAACTCCAGAATTCTTATAAAAGTTCTACGAGTTTGGAAACACTTCAACTACCGTAATCAACGCCAGGAATTGCATCTTATTCTCGGTGACGAAAATGTAAGTTCATCTTTTTGAAGTTTTTTATTCTGTTGCATGTTATGAACATTTAAACACATGAAAAAAATTTAAATGCTTATTTGGTTCACGAATTTAGGGCTACAAAATAGAGGCATCGAACTTCGATGGCATTCGCAGTTGATTTGCTGAGAAAGTCATTCATATCTTCCCATATATTAGTTTTCTCAATCTCTGATTCAGAAATTGGAGGTGATGATGTTTCTTCCACACCAAATCTCATGTTCAATGGTGGTGGATTAATTTTCAGTAATCCATTTTCATCATAACGTTTTTCTTGGTTATTCTCCATTTATTTCTAATCTCTTATCAGGCATTGAAGGTGGAAGAGAAAATTTAAGAAGTATGTTTATAATCGAAGTAACTCTTATTTTATATAGGATAGGATAGTTATAAAATATTCAATGTCAACAATTTTCTATGTTTTTATTGGGAATATTGTTTCAACCAACTAGTTTGACTTTTAACTTTCGCTTTTGATATATGGACATAATATTTACACACGTCTTCTTCGTCCAATTCACACAAATTAACTCATACAAAGATACTGAAATTTTTTGATTTTACTCTTTACATTTTGATTTAAACCGTAATATATGGTAACATAATTTAAAATTTTGGAAATCTTCTGATAAAATTAAACAACTTTTTAAATTTATTGTTTTGACTGAAATACATAATATATAAAATGATATTTTTTTGTTATTTGAGATAATTTCAAATGAGAAATAATAATTCTAACAATCCTATAAATTAGGAAAATCGTTATAGTTTAAATTAAAAAATCTCAATTAAAAGGTATTTCTTACACAATATTGGATCTTATTTGAGCTAATAACAATTTTCTATATAATTAGAGTTTTTTTCTAAAAATTCCAGTGAATAATAAAAAATCTGCAATAGCAAAAACCTATAGAAAACGGTATACATTTCTGTTTAACTACTGAGCAAAATAACTTGTATCTCACTCTACAATAAGTACACTGTCAATACTCTATCCAGAAGTTGGTATAACAGTATACTTCCTGTCGAAAGAGAGCATTCACAAGTAATATAATTACAATAACTCTGTGGCGACATAATAATGAATAAAACTACTTACTCTGATGTGATTCTTCACAGACGCACAAGAAATATTATGTATGAAAACGAGTATTTTTCTTTCATGTAAACAAATTTTTTGTACGTCTATGTGAGGATCACATCAGAAGAATAATTGTAGTATGGATTGTGTTTGTGTGAGTAATTGTTTGCTTGGTTAGTTAATCAAATTCTCTTATGGTGTGTATTTATAGAATTCTTAGAGAGTGACTTCTCATTTTTCTTCGCTGTGTTTCATATTCTCCAAAAGTCGTTTATATTTAAAACATATTAAATAACATTTGACTGATTTATCACAATTTCCAAACGAAGATACATTTCAAAATAAATAAATACATATTCGCATATAATCTATAAAATATATTCATATATGTCACATTTCGATGAATAATTTAAAAACATAAAATTAATGTATCTATTCATAATTATATGTATTCTTCATCTACACTTTCTTCATTATACATGCCTAATTATAATTGCGTTGAATTTATAACTGCAAATATGAGGCAATTTAATACACAATTCAATTCTTAAACTAATAACATACCATTTGGCCCAAAATTAGTAACACCGTACCCACACACAATGTCAATTATCAATATTGTAAAATTCGATCCATTAAACTTAACAATATACCCAATTAAATTAAAATATTAAAAACGTTCAGACGTTCAGGTTAAATCATCTTGGAATAAATAAGTCTCATTTATTATACAGTATAATTATCCCTATTAAGTAGTTTAATGGTTCATCACATTGCCAACTGACAAAGCATATTCTCTTATATTTATGTTTGATATTGTTTCGTTTTTTTATATAATAAAAAATATATTTATATCACTAATTAAGTAAAACAATGTACCTATATATTTGGTAGCTGTTTATATTTTCTTTTTTAAATTGAAACAACTATTTTGTTAAATGAACAATATTAATTAGATTTGGTTCTTCATATTTATAACTACCGAAGTTAATGGTGTCATATATTTGTTTCCAACTTCTTCCACTTATTTTTATAGTTTCTTTTATTAGGATATATTCGTATATACAGTAAACAAATATTTCTTAACTGGTTTGGTATGGTAGTTTAAAAACCCTAGATAATACTAATTATATATGGGTATCAGACTGTGGATGAAAGTTTATCATATTACTTCTTAATACAGTCAATTTGCTCAATTGTTTGTTTTGAAAACTAACATGTCAGGTTTTTAGTTTTTCTCGACAATTTTAGTTTTACTACTTAAGGTTTACACTTACATATATTTTGTTTTTTTACCAGAAATTATGGATTACCATCTTCCTTTGTCGCTTGGCGAAACTGACGTCAGACACAGTAAAGTCATTACGAAAATAAAATTTATGGCTTGGATGGAATGTAACCAAAAGTACCAAAATGGTCCACACATTCTATACAGTGAGAAGTTAGACTTAAAGAATGGAGACTCAGAAAACGTGGTGTTGGTCAATCCGGGGTATTTAAAAAGTGTCCCATTGAAGATTCCGAGCTTTTCTACTTGTGGTTGTTGTTGCACATCGTAAGAAGTCCTACATCTTATGATGATCTTATGATGATATTAAGACTGTTAATGGTGTTACTCATCTCACATTCAAAGAAGCTTGTCTTGCTAGAGCATTTGTCCCATTTGAAGATCAATGATTCCTTTATCTTTTTAAGTATTCAGTATTAAGTTTATTGATAATTATTTTTATTTTTCATAACATTTTGGCTTTTATATGTAGCCAAAATATTCAATAACGATGTGCATTTTACGAAAAGTGAAATGGAATAACTCTTTTAATAATATTTCTTTACTACTTATAGCTTCATCTCTGTCTCTTTATACATCATCTTCGCATATAATCTACATCTCCATGTTTAGAAGTAAACGCAAATTATAAAATTTGGCCCATACAATATTGTATGAATATATATTTGATAAACTCATAAAGCTTTACGTAGTTCTATAACAAATTCATTATATTGTTGTACGCTTTAATGATAAACTGACATTCTTTATGCAATAACTCATCGATACTTATGTATATATTTGGATGTTGCTTTATGCAATAACTCATCGATACTTAATTTTAATATAAGATATTTTTATTGATACTATTAAGGTATGTGTACAACTATAATGGAATATTTTTTTATATATTTATAGTATTAAATGTAAAAAGTGTTTAAAGAACATATATCTAAGTATTTATTCGTACGATATTTAACAATATCATATAAATTCCAAATTATGTTCTACTCTTATTCAGTGATTTTTTATATTTCCTTAAATATTATAGGCGTTGTTATTATAATATTCACTTTACTATCCTGAGTATCTTACCTATATTCTCTAAATCCTACACCGTCGGAGATTAAAAATTTATTCACCACTATTTAAGTAATATTTTAGAAGGCATACAGTAAAGTTCTAATTACTGTTGTTTGATATTATGTTTGGCTACAACTACATTTCTGATTTGAACACTCATACCTCAGACTGGAAGATTCGAGTTAAGATCGTACGGAAGTGGAAGGAATGGATTCAACATGACAGTGTCACTCTTATGCTTATTTTTTCTGACCCAAAGGTTACTTCAATATAATAGCTTACTATATGAATTTGTTGTTTTGTTGCGTATACTACTGAACTAATATTATATTTCCTCATAAATTTTTTATTTGTATTGTGTTAGGGACATACTATAGAAGCCCGA